TGAAAATTGAGTGTTTAGCTTAAGTCTTTGGAAGTTATTTCTTCTTGTAACAGTGATGACCATTGGATAAGACGCTAGGCACTGGAGCTACACACTAGGTTCAAACCTTTGCAATTTTAGTTTTCCCCCCCACTTATATGTAACAAACTTATTTTACCGTATCATTAGCATTATTACTACTATTAATATTCCTTACGTTTAAAGCTTACAAAAAATATTTAAGAAACGTGACGTCATTTCCTGTTTAGCAAAAACGAAGCTTTCAGATATAACTCTTGTATATCGTTAAATAAATTTTTTTATTTTTCATACTAGCTTAGTGGCCACGCGCTGCTGTGACTCAAAATGTATCTATTATAAATGTATAACACTCCCCGCGGGAAGGAATTTCGAAAAATTCCTTCTTAGTGTACATTCTCTTGACGTACCCTATTAAAACGCATTCAAAAACTCAAAAAACCGCATCTAAAATAGTATAATAGAAGACCAGTTCTTCACGGTAAGCCTTAATTTTTGTCCCTCTCACCGCTGGGGGAATTTCGACATCTACATAATATAAAAACAAGCACGTATTCTAATGCAACGTTGTGTCAAAATTTCAAAGCAATTGGTTAAGAAATTTCGGAGATTTCAGATTTTGAACAAACGAACATTTACATTTTTATTTATATAGATTAATTTTCATTAAACAGGATATGACGTCACGTTTCTTAAATCTCGTTTTATAAGCTTTAAACGTGAGGAATATTAATAGTAGTAATAATGCTAATGATACGGTAAAATAATTTTGTTACATATAAGTGGAGGAAAAAGCCTAAAATTGCAAAGGTTTGAACCTAGTGTGTAGCTCCAGTGACTAGCATCTTATCCAATGGTCATCACTGTTACAAGAAGAAATAACTTCAAAAGACTTAAGCTAAACACTCAATTTTCAGAGGTCCGTTTTTCGAAAACACTTAAAAATGGCCCTATTATTTGGACAAGGAGCTGTTTGTGTTTAGGGCTACGTGCTCACCAAGTTTTGTTCGAATAAGATCCGAACGTCTGACCCTCTACTTGTAAGTCGGCCTATATGTTAATATTCCTCTATATCTTGATTAGCTTTAATGAGTTCTTGTAACTTAATACTTTATATGCAATCTGATTACATTGCATATAAATTATTGAATTTGCTAGACAAATATCTAGCTAAAAATATCACTGCCATAGTAAAAATCAGTTCCTGCAGTACTGGCAAAGTTGATAAGAGAAATGTTTTCTATATATATTTCTCCCCCCCGAATATTGCGTAACTCGTTTATTTTAAAATGTCTTAAGCTGCCTTGCTCTTATTTTTCTCATAGTTCTTTAACAAAATATATCCCAAAGATATCGCAGATATATGACAGCAAAAAATGAGATTTAATACTGTACATTAATTTTTGTGTATATATTAGAAACAAAAATCTATTTTAATTACAGTAATCTACAATTAGAAATGTAATAAAAAATTCTTTATATCATTTATTTATAGTATGTGAATTAATATACGGTTAATAATGATGGGAAATATTTTCTTAGAAAACAGTTTTCAGTTAAAATGTTTTTTAAGTAATCATATTCAATTTTTAAAACAAAACTTTTATAAGTGTGAAATTAACAGACGTCTATATTTTATGTTCACGTGTATAATAACAATACACAGAAATGAAAATTAGGTATTTTCAATGTTAGAAATTCCCAGGTCATAATATATTTTTATATCTAATTGAATTATAGAATGCTCCAAAATAATTGCTAACTTTGTAAAATCTTTTATATTTTAAAATATTAAAACGTTTTACTAAAATATTATTATTGACTAATTTAAATTTGAACATTTTAAATATCTGATTAATTTTTTTTTCACATCTGCTTTCCTAAATTTTAAACTAAAAAGTAAATATTTTATAATGTTATTTCTTTCTTTACTGTTAAATTTCTGTTATATTTAAAAAAGTAAGATTTTATGCGAAAAATTTCATTAGTATTTGATTATCCAAACAAGAAGATTAACAACCAGTTATGAAATTTAAGCAAGTTTATCATCCACTTTACCATATAAATTCATTTAAATACATTTATTAAACAAAAAAATAATGTATCTATATTTTATAACGTTATTTCTTTCTTTACTGTTAAATTTCTGTTATATTTAAAAAAGTAAGATTTTATGCGAAAAATTTCATTAGTATTTGATTATCCAAACAAGAAGATTAACAACCAGTTATGAAATTTAAGCAAGTTTATCATCCACCTTACCATATAAATTCATTTAAATACATTTATTAAACAAAAAAATAATGTATCTAAATTATAAATCAAACTTTCTTCATAACCACTTTATGTTAGCTGAGAAATATTTATTTATATTGTCACCATTATCATTAATAAAGGTTTTCAACCTAACTTCTATAGGTTATCAGATGTGTGTGTGTGTGTGTGTTTTGTATTCTCTATTTTAAATTTACATGTTTAAAAATTATGTTTATTAGAACAGATTATGGGCCAGATGGGCAACTCTTGAAAAATGTTCGTAGCACCATCGCAGGTAACAGGAAGCACAGATTACAGACAGGTAATAGGTCCTTTATTTGTTGTTAGAACGTTTTAAAAAACGTTCGGAATAAGTGTTACATCTGCCGATGTAACACTGTATCCGAACCTATAGAATTTTGGTTGTTTGCGATGATATAAATATTTCTCATAAGCAATCATAAGGTGGTTATGAAAAAACATTAAAAAATTATTAACTATTTCTCACTGCTAAGTCTGATTTTGATTATTATTTATTAATCTAAACATTATATTCATTGATTGTTTAATGTTTCGATAATTGTTGTAATTTTTGGCATACACAAGTTTCACAACCTCGTACAGTGTAAGTTGTGTTGACATTTTACAGCATGATGTGTAAATGTTCCAAAAAACTTGAAATATACATAAAATATAAATTTGAAATGTTTATATTGTGGTCTGTTATGCGGTCAGTTAGGCATTTCAAGCAGTGTCATGCAATTCATTTGTTTGCGAGCATAGAGCTATATTGTGTATAAATATATAGGGGAGACCGGGGCAACTTCGGCATGCGGGGCAAGTTTGTCAAGCGTTTTTTTTTTAAAAACAAATTAAAAGAAGACTTGGNGAAATGCTGTAATATATAAATTATTATTCTAATATATCTGTTAGTGCTGTCTTATACAGAGCAGTTTCGCTATAGCTTTTCTTCTCAGTATACATGCAAAACATTTAATTCGCGTTTTTGAATTGCAATTTTCAAATTGCAGAGCTGTAAATTCCCTTGTTGTCCACCTGTTGTCTGTTCGTCCATTTTTCCTTAATCTGGAGAACAGAGTTTGATAGATGAAAATCGAGACCATATACAGAAAGCTTAGAAGCCAGAGACTCGATTTATAACAAACTTCTGGTCTGGACCGGAAGTCACGTGTTTTTTAAAATTAAAATATTAAAAATTGCAGTCCAGTATTGTGACAATATCATAAGTAATTGTGCGTTCAGAGGTACCTTTTTGTTTTTTACACAATTATGAGTTTAGATATAATTTATTATTATTCTTTCAAATAATTCTAGGGAAAAAACAATTAAAGCTAGATGTTTTCCTTAAAAACAAACAGAACAAGAGCTCCAGTCATTACTTGATGGAGTACTTTTTACAAGCCATTTACTACTGTTCACTAAACTTTATCAAGGAAGAGTTTTGTCTGTCTTATACAACTGAAGATAGTGCAGAAATTGCCGATTTGAAAAAGTTGACACAGTACAGAAATCATTTTTCACAATTTCGTAAGCTCTCACTAGTCTATTATGACTGTTAGTTTACTTGTTTTGACAATTCAAATTCATGTTAGCTGCACCAAGACTGGAATTTATGACCATATGCTTTTCAGTGTTGCTGAAGTTCTTTTTCCTACAGGAAAAGGAGTGCACAAGGTTCATTCCAAAATGGTGGCAACTGTAGCACAGGACTGTCCTTCTCTGAACAATGATTCAGAAATAAATGGTGATTCTGATCTGTCCATTTCAAGATAATGGATGAGCCATGCTCTGGATGGCCTACTTCAACAACAACAGATGAAAATATGCATAAAATCCATGATCTGATCTTCAAAGACTATGACATTTCAGTCAAGATGATTGCTAAAATCTTGAGATTTCCCTCAAAAATATTTCTCATGTAATCTGTGATGTTCTTGACATGCAAAAGTTCTTTGAAAAAATAAAAATTCTGATACTTCTCAATACAGACAAGAAGCAGAATCACACAATTGCCTCGAAAACCATTGTGACATGGTGCTGAAGATTTTGAACCTGCCAAAGAACCAGAGAAACAACACCACTTATTATATGTATCTATTGGATGAATTGAGAGGTTTTGAATGAAAAAGTGTTGAAAACTAAGTCAAGGCTTGGTCCTTCTGAAAGACAACACCCCTATCCACACAGTCCTCCAAACCATGAAAAAAAATCAAGAATTTGTGATTTTTGCACAGTTTGATTATCTCTTTCCAGCTTTAACAAAACACCTAAAAGGGATAAGATTTGTTTCCAATCAAGATGTAATTGAGTTGCAGACGGATGATTTGCAGACCAACCTAAGGAGTTCTTTTTACTGGGATTAAAAAATTTGAAATAATTTTATAAGAGTTGAGGGGTGATTGTTGAATACATTCAGTTTATCAAATCTCTTTTCTAGAAAAAGTTGCAACTTTTCAGCACTCCTGTAAAAGTATCTGGTTTTCTAATGTTTCTCATTCAAGATACAGTATATCAAATTAAAAATTATTTTTTCATTGCATTAAACTTTCATGTTTTAATGTTTCTTGAAGTATTTACATAATTCATTCTGTATGAGTGATCTACATTACGTGTTAATGTATTTTTAATTCAAAAACACAAATTATTTAATAAAAATGTTCAGTTACTATTACAATGCAAATTTATCATAATAAATTAAAACTTACTATTTTTTCTTCAGATTCAGCATCAGCTTTAATATTAGTCAAAGAAGGCCTAGTATCAGCTTGAAATTCTTCAAAATTCACTTTTATATCTTCTTTCATATCCTTAAATGAAAATAATTAAATTATATTATAAATTTTTCAATATAATCTTTAACAGCTATGCCTAAATTCATTTTAAATATGATAAATATTAAACAGCAGTTGTCAAGTAGTATCCAAAGTGGAACAGTGCATCAGAGTGGAATCTTTTTGAAATGAAATGAACATATTTTATACAAAATAATCATGTTTTATATAAAATATGATTATTTTCTTTTTGAAATGAAATGAACATATTTTATACAAAATAATCATGTTTTATATACAATGAATTGAATAAATTCCTTTATAATTTATTTCTAGGTTTCTGATAAAAAAATTTTGATTCATTTCAGTTTAGGTAAAGAAATAATTAACACAGTCATTCATGTTTACTTGAATCTATTTTTCTAACTTATGACTACTTTCAAAAAACTCTGATTTCTTAATATTAAGAATTTATAGACATAGCAAAACTTTTCTAGGTTAATATAGAAGTTGTATCTTATTAAAACATTTCTAGTCTTTAATTTTATTTTTCTAAGAAAATTCCACTCTACTTTTATAAATGCCTATTTTTTCAACAAGTTTTTCAAGTTTTTATTGAAAATTTTTTTATTATTTTACATATTTTATATTATTAGAATGATTACTGTTTGTGAGAAATTATTCTGTCACTGTGATTTTATTTTATTAGAATTTCTTAAAAGGATTATAACCATATCAATAACATTAACATTAAAAATAGAAACTTGGTTTGTCTCCAACTTAAAGAATATACAGTATTTCTTTCAATATAGAACAGAGAAATTTTTGATTTTAAACTATTAATCTTAAACTATTAAACTTAAACATCTAAATATAACATAATATAACATTATAACAGTATATATAACATATAACAATAATATAACATATAACAGTAATATAACATATTTTAATGACAACACATTTTCTCAAGACCATCAAACAAAACAAAATCTTTAAAAATTTTAAAAATCAGTGTTGCTCACAGAAGAATTTAGATCACAATAAAAAAAAATTATTAAATTTATGAAATCATTTTCAAATAAATTTTAACTGTGCAGTTTAGTCTAATACATACAAATACAAAATCCAAGTAAAAAAAAAAAATGTATGATAAATTAACAATAATTGTAGTAATATATATATATATAAGCCTTTCAACTCTAGAATTTAATACTTGGGCTAATAACATATTTTTGTCTGTTTTTTTCAAAACCGCAATGCAGCGTATATAAGCCTTTCAACTCTAGAATTTAATACTTGGGCTAATAACATATTTTTGTCTGTTTTTTTCAAAACCGCAATGCAGCGTAAGGAGTTATGCCAAATCAACATTTTAAATCAACTTAATTAAGGAGTTATGCCAAATCAACATTTGGCATAACTCCTTAATTTATTTCAGCTTTTGTTGAGACACATTTATACACATGTTTAGGGCTTCGTTTTGTCCCTCCTCAGTCAACTAAAAATATAAAACCAACCTTATACACAACCTTATAACCCTACATATGAATTTTAAAAAATTTTTGTATTTGGCAAGTAACACATAACATACCTTTTAAAATCCCTTTTTAAAATCACAGATTTCATCTTTTGATGTATTTCCACAAGCGGGAATCATACACTATATATTGGATTGTTTCAAATACTAGGCTGAAGATTTAATCCTACTTGGTACATACTACACCTAGACTTTCGCAATTAGACTTTACTGGACTTCGAAGACTATAAAAAGTAATACAGTTATTGCACTTAACATTTAGATGTCAAACTATATACTGGTTTTATTCCTACATTCTTATTCACAGAAGGTTCCTTGAAATATCGAGAAAAGACTATAACGGACATGTAGCACAGTTCTTCTTTTATATCAACACTAGTTCGTATACAATTTATATTATTAAACTTTCTTTTAATCATTTTATCTTTATATAATGGTAGTAATAGTTCTTACCTAAACAACTCAACTAAACTCCACAGATTTTAATGGTGTTATTCTTTTATGGTGANTATATATATATGTTTTTAGTTGACTGAGGAGGGGCAAAACGAAGCCCGAAACATGTGTATAAACACGTCTCAACAAAAGCTGAAATAAATGAATGAATTATGCCAAGTGTTGATTATTTCACTGCATTGCAGTTTTGAAAAACAAATATAAAGATACAACACGGTTTTGAAATATGGAAGGATATTTTTATCTGATCTGAATTCTTCACTGGTTACTTTAACAGCCAACTGTAGTATGTGTTCAATTATGAATTGGCAATTTACGGTATTCATTATCTCAGCATTCTTTATTTCTACAATAATATAAAACAAATTTGAAGATGTAGTGCAGTATAATAGATGTACAATATATGAACATTGACTTACAACAAAAAGTCATGCAAATCATTATTATTAGACAATAACTTCCCTAATTTGTTTAGTAATAATTAAGAAATTAAAATTCACTTTAAAATGAATTTTAAACATCTTAATGACAGTCATTTCAAAATGTTTATGGTTTAACAAATTAGACCTTTGAAAAAATTAACACACTAAGTGAATTTAATAATGGATTTCAAAACATAATCACATTAGAAGCAGTATTTAAAATAAATCAGTGATTCAAAATGAAAATATCTTTAAAGCAAGCTCATAGCTGCTTGTTTACCTAAACATTGAAACTATTACTTTTGAAAGTACTAACAAGGAGAGTGCCAGATGTTCAGGTCTTCCATTTGAACGAAACTTGGCAAGCATGTAGCCCTAAACACAAACAGCTCCTTGTCCAAATAATAGGCCCACTTCTCAAGTGTTTCCGAAAAACGGACCTCTGAAAATTGAGTGTTTAGCTTAAGTCTTTTGAAGTTATTTCTTCTTGTAACAGTGATGACCATTGGATAAGACGCTAGGCACTGGAGCTACACACTAGGTTCAAACCTTTGCAATTTTAGTTTTCCCCCCCACTTATATGTAACAAACTTATTTTACCGTATCATTAGCATTATTACTACTATTAATATTCCTTACGTTTAAAGCTTACAAAAAATATTTAAGAAACGTGACGTCATTTCCTGTTTAGCAAAAACGAAGCTTTCAGATATAACTCTTGTATATCGTTAAATAAATTTTTTTATTTTTCATACTAGCTTAGTGGCCACGCGCTGCTGTGACTCAAAATGTATCTATTATAAATGTATAACACTCCCCGCGGGAAGGAATTTCGAAAAATCCCTTCTTAGTGCACATTCTCTTGACGTACCCTATTAAAACGCATTCAAAAACTCAAAAAACCGCATCTAAAATAGTATAATAGAAGACCAGTTCTTCACGGTAAGCCTTAATTTTTGTCCCTCTCACCGCTGGGGGAATTTCGACATCTACATAATATAAAAACAAGCACGTATTCTAATGCAACGTTGTGTCAAAATTTCAAAGCAATTGGTTAAGAAATTTCGGAGATTTCAGATTTTGAACAAACGAACATTTACATTTTTATTTATATAGATTAATTTTCATTAAACAGGATATGACGTCACGTTTCTTAAATCTCGTTTTATAAGCTTTAAACGTGAGGAATATTAATAGTAGTAATAATGCTAATGATACGGTAAAATAATTTTGTTACATATAAGTGGAGGAAAAAGCCTAAAATTGCAAAGGTTTGAACCTAGTGTGTAGCTCCAGTGACTAGCATCTTATCCAATGGTCATCACTGTTACAAGAAGAAATAACTTCAAAAGACTTAAGCTAAACACTCAATTTTCAGAGGTCCGTTTTTCGAAAACACTTAAAAATGGCCCTATTATTTGGACAAGGAGCTGTTTGTGTTTAGGGCTACGTGCTCACCAAGTTTTGTTCGAATAAGATCCGAACGTCTGACCCTCTACTTGTAAGTCGGCCTATATGTTAATATTCCTCTATATCTTGATTAGCTTTAATGAGTTCTTGTAACTTAATACTTTATATGCAATCTGATTACATTGCATATAAATTATTGAATTTGCTAGACAAATATCTAGCTAAAAATATCACTGCCATAGTAAAAATCAGTTCCTGCAGTACTGCTTCCGGCAAAGTTGATAAGAGAAATGTTTTCTATATATATTTCTCCCCCCGAATATTGCGTAACTCGTTTATTTTAAAATGTCTTAAGCTGCCTTGCTCTTATTTTTCTCATAGTTCTTTAACAAAATATATCCCAAAGATATCGCAGATATATGACAGCAAAAAATGAGATTTAATACTGTACATTAATTTTTGTGTATATATTAGAAACAAAAATCTATTTTAATTACAGTAATCTACAATTAGAAATGTAATAAAAAATTCTTTATATCATTTATTTATAGTATGTGAATTAATATACGGTTAATAATGATGGGAAATATTTTCTTAGAAAACAGTTTTCAGTTAAAATGTTTTTTAAGTAATCATATTCAATTTTTAAAACAAAACTTTTATAAGTGTGAAATTAACAGACGTCTATATTTTATGTTCACGTGTATAATAACAATACACAGAAATGAAAATTAGGTATTTTCAATGTTAGAAATTCCCAGGTCATAATATATTTTTATATCTAATTGAATTATAGAATGCTCCAAAATAATTGCTAACTTTGTAAAATCTTTTATATTTTAAAATATTAAAACGTTTTACTAAAATATTATTATTGACTAATTTAAATTTGAACATTTTAAATATCTGATTAATTTTTTTTTCACATCTGCTTTCCTAAATTTTAAACTAAAAAGTAAATATTTTATAACGTTATTTCTTTCTTTACTGTTAAATTTCTGTTATATTTAAAAAAGTAAGATTTTATGCGAAAAATTTCATTAGTATTTGATTATCCAAACAAGAAGATTAACAACCAGTTATGAAATTTAAGCAAGTTTATCATCCACCTTACCATATAAATTCATTTAAATACATTTATTAAACAAAAAAATAATGTATCTAAATTATAAATCAAACTTTCTTCATAACCACTTTATGTTAGCTGA